CTACTGCTTCACTGAGTTGGCACGGGGCGGACAAATACAGTTGTGTGTCGTCCGCATATTGGTGGTATTTAATCCCGTGCCGTCGAATGATCTCGCCCAGGGGCTTCATGTAGATGTTAAATAGGAGGAGGGACAGGACTGAACCCTGCGGCACCCCATAGTTGAGGGGCCTAGGGGTCGACCTCTGCCCTCTGACCAACACCAACTGCGACCTGTCCGAGAGATAGGAGGAGAACCACCGTAGGACAGTGCCTCCCATCCCATCCCACCTCCCGTAACCGTTGCAGAAGGATACCATGGTCGATGGTATCGAAGGCCGCTGAGAGGTTAAGGAGCACTAGAATAGAGGAGTGACCCCTATCCCTGGCTCGCCAGAGATCATCGATCAGTGCGACCAAAACAGTTTCCGTGCTGTAACCAGGCCTGAAACTGGACTGAAAGGCGTCCAGATAACATGCCCTTTAAACTCCAAATTCCAACAAAAGAAAGCTTAGTATGGAAACAGGTATTTCTGCATATCTCTAAAATTGTATTTTAAGGTTATTTTGCTGTTGTGTGTTGGAAAAATCAGCACCAGCTGCTAAAATGGTGATGTGCAAATTCTTTATTGTTCTACTACTAAAATATGAAGGAATTTGAATCTGCATCTGAGCCACTACATAATCATGTAAAATCATATAAAACCTGGTATATGGAAGACAAGGAAGCCACTGTGAACATTGAAGGCATCACAAAATGTAACATCTATATATCTCTGCTTTGAGCTTAAAGGAAGGTGGACCATATATTCTCTGGGATATACAGTATATCACTTCTGCGACTGCTGCACGGCAAGGCCAAGATAGCTAATGCAATTTATATAGTCTTTATATTGATTTCCAATAGACAGACAGTATTGAAAGATTGCTATCATGTCACCCTTAAGCCTTCTCTTCATTAGGCCTCTTCATTATGCCTTAGCCATTCATTGTATGATTGGCTCCAGACCCCGTATCATTTTTGTTGCTCTTTTCTGCATTCTTTCTAGGGCTTGGCATCTCTTTTTGTATTGTGATAACTTAGCACATAGAGTTATATATCACTTCACAGTGTTTTGTAGCCCTCTCTAAGCAGTTTACAGAGTCAGCATATTGCCAATCTGGGGCCTCATTTTACTGACCTCGGAAGGATGGAAGGCTGAGTCAACCTTGAACTGCTCCCATGAGCCTGATGTTATCCTTCTTTTGATGCATCCTAGGACTGCATCCACCTTTTTGGCAGCTGCAGCGAAACTGCTGACTCATAAGCAGTGGTTCACCAGGACACATAGGTCCCTTTCATAGACACTATTATTGAGCCAGTAACTGCCTATCCTGTACCTATGCATTTAATTTTTTCTTCCTAAGTGCAGGACCTTATTTTATCTCCAATGAATTATATTTTGTTGGATAGGGCCCAATGCTCAAGTTTGACAATATCCTTCTGAATCTTGAGACTATCTTCCAAAGTGTTACCAATTCCTTCCAGCTTGGTGTCATCTGCAAATTTGATGCGTGCCCTTCAATCCCCTCATTTAGGTCATTTATGAAGATGCTAAAGAACACTATGCCCAAGACAGAACCTTGAGATACCTTATTGCATGCTTCCTTCCACATAGATGTGGTCCCATTAAGAACCACACACTGAGTGCCGTTGGTCATGAAAATGTAAATATATCTGGTATGGTCCAATCTATCCCACATTGTTCTGTCTTATCAAGAAGTAAGCTGTGGATTCCTTTATCAAATGACTTACTTAAGTCAAAATAAACTATATCCACAGCATTTCCTTGATCCACTAATTAAGTCACTTTATTAAAGATGGCAATAATGTTTGTTTGGCATGATGTGCCTTTAACAAACCCATGCTGGCTTCTAGTGGTGCTCACAAATCCACTACTTAATTATCTTTTCCAGTATTTCCCCTGGTATTGATATCAAGCTGATTGCTTTGTAGTTTCCTGTATCTACCTCCCCCTTTTGAAGATTGGATCTACATCAGCTCTTTTCCAGTTCTCTGACAGTTCCCTCATTCTCCAGTAGCCTTGAAAGATTTCATTCAGTAGTTCCGAAATCACATCTGCCAGCTCCTTGAATGTAAATCATCCGGTCCTGGAGATTTGAACTTGTAGAACCTCACAGGCTAAATTAGCCACAGGCTAATTCCCAATGAGTTGACTATAAGCCTTTCTAGGCTACTGTTTTATACCTGGAGAATTGGGAACAGAAACGTCAGACCTAGTAAAGCAGGATTTCCATTCTCCAGCTTCATCAAGAACTCCAACAATATATCATAATCAGTGTTCTCAAAAGTTACCATGAGTTCAACAGGTGTCAGCAGAATTCTTGTCTCCTGGAATATGTAATTAGTGCAACCAAGGCAAATACAAGTTTTATTTCATATTTAATTTCATATTTAGAATTATTGTTCGACCACCTGAATAGAATGTTCAGTGTACTTGAGGTATTATAAGATTTGCTTCTTACGGTAATCTGAAATTTTAAGTTAGAGAATTCGAGACCCAGGTTAATCTTTAGAAGAAATCAGACTGTACTAGGCCTATGTTGAAGGCTGACAGGCTTTGTTATTTTTTTCCTTTGAGTGACATAACAATATCTTTAAGCAGTGAGCACTTAAAGAAGTGAAACCAACTATTTATATCTTAATATTTAACTATTACTTAATGAAATGTATTATTCTTTTAAATATCTATATTTAAGGGATTCGGCACTAAATCTCAAATCACTAGTTCTCTATTTAAGAATGAAATGTGCTGGTAATAATATATATTTTATGCATTTAATTTGTATCTAATTTTTTCTTTTCTCTCTCTCTTTATATTAGTTTGCACAAACATCTAATTGAGCACTTAAATGCTGAAATAGTGCTTCACACCATTACTGATGTGAACATAGCTTTAGAATGGGTGAGATCAACTTTCCTCTATATCAGAGCTTTGAAGAATCCGGCTTATTATGGTAGGTGGCACTTAAAATTTGTGAATTGAAATAGACAATTAAAAGGTGATGTGGTAATTTGTTTCTTATGATAAAACAGTTTTCTGTTGGCAAATAATTTATTCAAAACATTAATGGTCTTTCTTATGCATTTCCTTTTTCAGTAGAAATCTAGGCAATCAGAATATGTAGTCTCCCATTGCTTGTGTTCATCTGTCTTTTCCTGCTTGTGTATTCAGAACAATATTTTTTGTGGCATCATTAAGCAAATGCCATGATCGTTAAGTGAACAGCACTTAGATGAATCCATTATACCCAATGGACGTTTTTTAGCTGGAAACCAGAAAAGAACATTGAAAACTAGCAAACACTGTAAAAAATCATGGTCATATGATCATGAGTTGCTGCAAAATAGCCACAAAGGTGAGCCAGATGCCAAGCACCTAAAATGCAATCAAGTTAACAAAAGCAAGTTTGAAAATGAACTGGAGCAAGTTCGGAACTAAGAAAAACTTTCCAGAAAAAAGTCCCCCAGAGTTCTGAAGGAGTTGGCAGATGTTATCTCAGAACCATTGTATCATATTTTTAAAATATCTTGGGTCACCGGGAAATTACCAGAGGATTGGAAAAGAGCTGATGTGGTTCCCATTTTCAAAAAAGTGGGGGGAAACCAGACTCAGGAAACTACAGAACAATCAGTCTAACATCAATATCTGGGAACATACTGGAAAATATAATTAAAAAAACAGATCTGTGAACATCTAGAAACAAATAAAGTTATAACTAATAGCCAGCATTGGTTTGTTAAAAAGAGATCATGCCAAACCAATCTTATTTCATTCTTTAACAAAGTGACTAAATTAATAGACCAGCAAAATGCTGTGGATATAGTATATTTAGACTTCAGTATTTGACAAAGTAAACAACAACCCATTTCTTGATAAACTAGAAAAATGTGGGATGGACAGAATTACCCCCAGATGGATTTGTAACTGTCTGACAAACCATACACAATGAGTATTCCTTAATGGTACTACTTCTACACGGAGGGAAGTAAACAGTGGGGTACCACAAGATTCCGTCTTAGCCCCAGTACTCTTCAATATTTTCATAAATGACTTAGATGAGGGAATAGAAGGGGAACTCATCAAATTTGCAGATGACACCAACCTGGCAGGAATAGCCAACAACTCAGAAGACAAGCTGGGGTTCCAAAAATATCTTGACAGACTTGTGCAATTGGCTCTATCCAACAAAATTAATGTGGAGAAAAGCAAGGTTTTACACCTGGGCAGGAAAAACCAAAGGTACAAATATAGATTAGGTGAGATCTGGCTCAAAAATAGTAACTATGAGAGGGACCTTGAAGGAACCCTTAACTTCAAAACAGATTTGGCAAGACCGGTTATGAATACTGAACTTCTTTTCTATCTTTACATGAATGCTTTGCTTACCAACCAACTCATAGTCTGTAAAATGCTTGATAAATTACCAACCTGGATTACAAATTAGAATTTTTACCAAACTCATCAATGGCATGCTTGGATTTGAGCAGTCAAATGGAAAGTTAAATTATACCAGAAAACTTGGAAACAGAAAATCAGTCTGTCTTTGGAATAGTGCATGAAGCTCCTATTTCTTCTTGTTCCATAGATGGCCTTGAGGATACTGCTACTTAGACTTTTAACAGGCTTATTACAAATTCATACTACAATTTATTTTGTAGAAATCTGATAATTCTTTCTCTGCAACATTTCAAAATATAAAAATGTCAGTTGCATATTGAAATGTGATACAGATAGTATTTTGTTCCCTACAGTAAATATAGGTTGCCTGTTTTTGAAGAAGATGAATTCACTTTCTTGAATAGTGTATAATTTTTTTAAGTTTTCAGCTAAATAGGCTTGTTTTTATAGAGGATCAAATGAGAATATTAAAATTCATAAACTATTTTATATCAAGTGAATGCAGATCTATTTTCCCCAAAGGCAGAGTTACAGTTTCTTCACTGATCCTTCTTGCTGTCATCACCACAGCATAAGGCATACTGCAGTGTTCAGCACAGTAGGATCTCTCTATATGTGGAACAGCTGCTTTTTAGAACTGTGAAAGAAAAGGGGGAGAGAAAAAGTGGTAAATGAAATACTTATTTTCTTGAAATGCCCTTAAATGATAACAGTTAGGACATTTAGCACCTTTCACTACATCTGTTTTCACATCGATTTTGTATATGTGTGTATGTGTGAGAAAAAGAGTAAGAGAGAAAGTGAGAGAAAGATGAAAGCAGATATAAAATCTTTGTAGTAGTGGAAAAATATTCACAAAATAAGTATTTTTTTTAAACGGTCTATATTTGTTAGCAGAAATATAATGGAACAAATGTTAATGTTTGAATGCTGTCCTGCTTTTTCTGTAATAAACTGAGATTTTAAAAAATAGAAATAGAAAGTAGGGAAAATGCCAGATGCTGAAAACATTTTGAACTATGAAAACTGAATTTTATTTTTCAAGCCATTTTAGTGCTAGAACAGATTCTTTTGTTGTTTCATGAATAATGGACAAATATTTATATGTGCAATTAGGATGCTTGTATTATAGAGGAAAGAATCAATTCAGAGCTCTGAGGGGAGAGTGTTCAATTCCTAAGATAAAACACTATGACAGATTGCTACGTATGAGAACAGCAAGCAACAGTTACTTTAGTTCTACAAGCCAATTTCAAAGGAAATTTGAAATTTCTGATATATCTAGGTCATTAGCTGATCACCTATGGACTATAGTAGTGATGGCTAACCTTTTTGTCGTCATGTGCAGAAAGTGCATGCGTGCATACCCATAATACAATGCCCATGTGACCCCCGCTGCCATGCATGTGTGTGACCCCTCCGCATGTGCCCCAATCCCCCCCGCATTCACCCAGGACCCCCATGCTCCCCCGCCCCAGTGCATACACATACGACCCCCATGCATACGTGGCAGTGAGCCAAAAACCAGTTGGCCAGTGGGAGGTGCACGCACATGCATGGTAGAGCTGAGCTGTGGCAATGGCTTGTGTGCCCGTACATGGGACTATAGCATGAATTTGTGGGTTGATACATTCTAAAATATAGTGTATGGTGTCTAGGTCTTCTTATCCCCTGTTCCTTCTATATTGGAAAGACAACAATATGTGTAGCAAGGTACAAGCTGGGACAATTTTAAAGTTAAAATTAATAAATAATTTATGAATCTCTTTAGGCATCCTTTTGTGTCCCATAATAAATTGTGTGCTTAATATACAAATCTGTTGATTGTAAAACTGCATAGGTTTCTATAACAAAAGAACTGCACATTATTCAATTAATAATCAATTGTATTATTTTAACCAAGGGTTTTCAGCTGAGCTGGACAGAAATGGAATTGAAGCAAAATTACAAGGTCAGATTTTTTGAAATTACTAGTTCTGCTAATTCTTTTGTTTTTCCTCTTACTTCCTGTGGATTCCTTAGAGATTATTGGACCACAATAAAGTGCCTTTTTTCCCTCGAGCCCAGAGATAGATAGCCCTGCTCTTACCACCAAAGCTAGAATTCTTTTCCCTTCACCTAGAATCTCTGCCTTTCTGAATAAAGCAAGCCTATTTCTCTGCCCCCAAAGAAGTTCCAACTCATATCTACTTTCATTTCCAATCCCAAAGTTCAGCTCTGCTCCTATTGTTGCTCCTCCCAGTTCGACATTGCTTAAATTCCTTTTTTTCTTGGGATCTAGCTCATTAGGACTATTTGGTCATTTTCAGTCTTCATCTTGCTTACATTTTCTCTCTCTTGCATCTTCCTTTTTGGCCTTTTCCCAAAAGAGCTTTCTTTCATCTCTTTCAGCCATGCTGTTTCCCTTTGTCCCAAAACAAAGCATGTGAGGCTAAGATTCTGATGTCACCAAGAATCCCTTTTATTTTATCTGGGCAAGGGTAAATTTGTTTTTCTTGTTTGGTCGCATGTTCATAGCTATTGCATAGACATTTAAGAAGTTGATTTTATATCTTGAAAATAGGGTGAGTGAATGTGAGGAATGGAAGTGCTTGCCTTGCCTGAGTTGAATCAAGGTTTGCCTGTTCACAGAAGATAGATAAACTTTCTGCTTTTTCTAACTGCAAAATTATTTTTCCTGCTTATCAAAAATTGTCACTTCAACTTGGACAGAACTATGTTTGAAGAATTTGAATGATTTGTCATCACTTGATCTGATCAAGATGGACGATAACCTCTACTTCAAGACCACAGGTAATATTACATAATCTATATAATCTGAATGTTCAGAATGTATTTTTTTAATATTTTAATATTTAAAATGTTTTCTGGGGCATGCATTGTTCTCATAAAAACTGTGCCCCAGGGCAATGTGCAATTGCAAGACTTCACACAGCTCTCAAGTCTCTGTTATGTGTCCAGTTCTTTCTTTCCATAATGACTAAAATTGATGGTGTACTTTTTGTCATTTTCAGTAAACACTTGAAAATTGTAATATCAGGCATAAAATAGACATAACTATTTTTTTTAAAAAAAAATCCAGTAGAAAATATAAATCAGAAAAAATATAAGCGTAGCTACATTTATAGTGTCATGGTTCTGCCTATCATGGTACTCTCAGAACAGTGTTAACTGGGACCAATTCCAGTTACAAAACTTCGTTCCTCTTTGTCTTAGAGCATTCCATAAATTAAGGGCAGCTTCTTGATAAGATATTGGTATTAAAAGCATAGGCTAGGAAAATTGGATAACAGGGGGAGAAACCTGAGACTTTAAGTCACTGTCATATAGCAATAGCACTTATACTTACAGTATATACCACTTCACACTGCTTTACAGCCCTTTCTAAGTGGTTTTCAGAGTCAGTATATTGCCCCCAACAATCTGGGTCCTCATTTTACCGCTCTTGGAAGGATGAAAGGCTGAGTCAACCTTGAGCTGGTGAGACTCGAACTGCCGAACTGCCCAACTATGTATGCACTAGTAGTATCTAGACTCATCTTCCTATGGAAAACTACCACTGATATTCACATTTCTTCAGAGGATCATGAAAATCAACCAGAAAATTAACTAATAGACAACCATAAAAAAAAAACAAATATTTTTTTTCCAGATTTGTAGAAAGGCATGATTATAAGGCCAATGCAAATACTTGTTCTTTCTCTTTTTATTTCTCTTTCTTGCTCTTAGAGGGGGCAGTATTTCTCAGAGGTTTTTTTTGCCATAGAAGAGTTCTTTCATACGTACTTGGGAATGAGGAAAACTCATGAATATTTTTGAATGTTGTATAGTTTTAAATAATAGTAACATTTTTCCCTTGAAATATGTACTAAACATGTGGCAATGAGAAGACTAGTTAATAGATTAAACCAGATTTTATAGTTAAATCTAGTTTATTATATGTTCCAATTCTATAAAAATGAGTAGCTAAAAATAATTTGAAGTCCTTTGAGTTAAAATCAATGTCACAGAGTAACAGAGCTGGAAGATCCATTTAAACCATTGAGCCAAATCTTGTGCTCAATGTGAGAATCCAAACAGAAGCATCCCAAAACTGAAGGCTGTCTAGCCAATCCAGTAAAGAAGAACCTCCCACCTCTTTAGATAATTGGTTCCAAAGGACAACTGGACTTACTATTAAAAAGGGGTTTTCCTATCATATTCGTTCTTCAAACTTAAAGCTATTATTCAACTAGTAAAAAAAATGTCTTCTATATTTCACTTATTAAGAATACTTAATTATTTTATATATTTATTTTTTCTACAGAAACTGGACGACAGATGGCTTGGTATTATATTGCATTTGACACTGTAAAAAAGTGTTTCATGATTAATGGAACAGCAACTTTATCTCAACTGGTAATTTTATTATTCATATGAAGAATTAATACTCTTACAAATTAGCTGAAAACTCATTTATGGTTTCAGATTTTTGAAAGTTGCTTTTTATTGAAACTTTACATAATTCATACCATTTGGCTTAGATCTGTGATCAGAGTTGTGAGCTGGAGGAGAAATGACTTGTAGTTCATTAATTATTGTGCAAGCTACTAGAAGAATTTATATCATACAGTTATATACAATTATCAAGAATGGCATTAAACTCTAATGCAAAGTTATTGGGAAATAATCTGTTCAACTTGAAAATACCTTTTGTGGAACTGGATCACCAATTTTCTGTGGCTCACAAAACAATGGTCTTTTTAAAGAAGACCGCATTACATACACTGCATTACCAAATCATTACTTCTCATTGATGAGAATTCAGAAGTTTGTTATTGCTTGCTTCCTGGGGCTGAGAGAGAGTGATCGGCCCAAAGTCACCCAGGTGGCTTTGTAGTCAAGGTGGGACTAGACCTCATGGTCTCTTGGATTCTATCCCGATGCCTTAACTAATAACCAATCTGGCTTTCATATTAAAGTATCGTAATGTTTTTTCTAAAATTCTTGCTGCAGATGTCAACTCTTATTACATTTTAGACTTTAACAGTAAGTATGTAACTAATACTGAGTGGATACAACTTTTCATCTTCCTTTTTTTGCCTTTATTATTTATATTATTTGTATACACTTATTGTGGTTCAGCTTAAGTATTTAGTACAGACTAGATAAAGTGGGTGTTATGGATCTAAGGTCAATGTATTGTTGCCTGTTTATTTTTTTTAATGGTTTCATATGCTATTAGCTGCTCAGAGTCGCTGGGGGAGTTGGGGGGTCATCTATACTGAATCAATGAATACACAAATAAATAAAATCCTTTTAAAAGTCAATCTGGACAAAATGTACCCAATCTGTCCCCAATTTCTAAATGAAAAATCAATTTCCTAAAATTTTCTTAAAAATTGGGGGAAGTTATCTGTTTTGCTTAAGCAAGTTGCTCTTTAAATATTTATCAGGTGGAGCAATTAAATCTCACTGCCTTGAAATATCACACATAATTTTCCTTGTATTTGGGCAATATTTGGACTAAATATTAAAACTCAATGACAGAAATAGGAAAAAGCCTTCAAACTGTTTTAGAGTTTTTTTGCTGAAGCATATTGTTTGAGAACCACAGCAATATATGAAACAATAACTGTAACTGGGATATGTAGAGTGTTTTATTTTTTTAATGATATATAACATAAACATGCATTTTTTGGCAAAACAGACAAACGTTTTTCATTGCTTTCCTTGTTTGTCTATGGTGGGTGTTTTTTAAAAAAAATTCATTAGACTATGGAGATACTATTTTGCAACAATACACTGAACCATGAATTTTAACATTTGTATGGTAGCAATGGGATTATGTATCAATGATGTTTAGTTCCCATTTAATTTTGAATGTATTGGATGTTATATAATAAATATATGTTTATCATGATGCTCTGCCAACTGTCGCTGTATGGTATTATCCTGATTTTCAAAATGAAGTGTCAGGCATAGTTTGCCGGTCTGTTTATAGCAAAAATGTAAAGTATTCAATGAATTAAGTAATGAGATAAATTAATATGTAAAGTTTTATCCTTATAGTACAACTGTGATGAATATGAACTAATCAAATGTATTTATTTATACACTTTATATTTCCTCCCATCTCACTGCAGTGACTATAAGTCAGGGGTGTCAACCTTGATTTCATTGAGGGCTGCATTAGAGTTATGTTTGATCTCAAGGGGTCAGGATGGACGTGGTCAGAGTAGGCATGGCCAGCTTGACATCACTCATGTCGTGGGTGCCTGTGGTGGTCCAAGCGCTCTGCCAGTGAAAATGGGCTCCCGAGCTCTGTTTTCATCGGTGATGGCCTCCTGCAACCCTCTGCCAGCAAAAACAGAGCTCAGGACAGGTGCCCGCAACTCTCGTGAGCTCTATTTGGGCTGCAGCAGCCTCCTGCAACCCGCTGCCAGAGAAAACACAGCTCTGTTTTCCCTGGTAGAGGACCATGGGCCAGTCCTTCACTGTTTCCAGGGTGGCCCCATGGGCCAAATCTAAGCACTTCGCAGGCTGGATCCAGCCTGTGGGCCTTGAGTTTGATACTCCTGCTCTAGATGGTATACAAAGTTAAAAACAACAATTTATACAACTTAAATCATATATGCCAGGTCAGAAACAGCTACACCAACTCATAATAAAACAACAGTAGCTGTCAGAGCTTGTTTAACCTCTTGGCTCAAATGCATGGGATGCTTTTAAAAGCAGATTCTCTGCTTTTTAGGGTGTTACATACTAGTATGTATAAGGGACACAGTGGCGCAGTGGCTAAGACACTGAGCTTGTCAATCAGAAAGATTGGCACTTCGGCAGTTCAAATCCCTAGCGCTGCGTAACAGAGTGAGCTCCCGTTACTTCTCCCAGCTTCTGACAACCTAGCAGTTCAAAAGCACATAAAAAAAGTAGAAAAGTAGGAACCACCTTTGGTGGGAAGGTAACAGCGTTCTGTGCTCCTTTGGCATTTAGTCATGCTGGCCACATGACCACGGAGATGGCTTCGGACAGTGCTGGCTGTTTAGCTTTGAAACAGAGATGAGCACCGCCCCCTAAAGTTGTGAACAACTAGCACAAATGTGCAAGGGGAACCTTTACCTTATATTTGTGTTGGGACTCTGTTAAATGTACCCAATATGTGGTATCTTGATACTTTAAATTTATATAAAATTAAGAAATAAATAATATTAATTGCAGCAGCAATGTAAGCAATATATTTTATTCTTGAATTTTGGTTTGTAAATTTCTCACTACTTAACACTAACCCATATTACAAGAATATATTATGTTTCTTCCTGCTGCTGCATATTGAAGTGTCCAACTGTATTCCAGAAAAACTATAGACTATTCTTCTAGGCTTAGTAATAAAAACAACATTATCCAATGCATGTCTGTTCAAAAGTAAATTCTATTGAGATCAATGCATTCTCTTTTCACATAAATATGGATAAGCTAAACAATCATATAAAAATAACAACAAATTAAAAATACTAAATTATGCCTCCATCAAGTCTTATGAACCATTAAAACTGAATTGCCAGAGATAATTCTGAACCTATTTCTCTGCAATTACATCCAAGAAATTAGACAAATTTTAAAATAAGTGCTTAAAATATATTTAAATAAATAGAACAAAAATAGAACAAAATTAATGAAAGAAATTATTACAGGTTGAATTGATATCTGGTTGCAGTGAATTTTCAGACATCAAGTTAAGAACAAATGAGAAAAAAGTACTTAATTCCTTGAACAAAGATAAGAAATGGATGAACATAAGGTACAAGATTAAAATTATTTTTGACTAAGAAGTAATTTTAATTACAGCAATACTTTTGTCTTCTGCATAGTGTATGTACTTAAAACCTATACATTAAGTTACTATTAATTCTATTTCACATTGGAGATGTCAGTGCCTGGACAAAGACTTTCCTTGTCATGTCCTTTACCTGCTATTCCGGCAAGAGCCCCAAATTCAGAAGGACTTCCAGTTTGTAAACCTACTGTTGTTGGAGAAATACAATCCCATCAAGAATCTGATAATATTTTTTAGTAGGCTTTAACCCCAAATTGCTTGGATTGAGTCTGAATCGGTTTTTCCCCTTCTAAGTCTCCCAATACCAGGTCATTACATCTATCACAGTCATGGTGAACCTTTTTTGGCTCATGTGCCAAAAGTGGTGGGAGTGCTGGGGCGTTGTGCACAGGTGTGCCACACCCATAATGCTTTGCATGCCCCAGTGCACATGCGCGCATGACCAGCCCCCCCATTTTTGCCGTCCTTTTTTCTCCCTCCCCAGGCTCCAGAGGCTTTATGGGAGATTGGGGAGGGCGAAAACTGCCTCCCCCCGGAGGCCCTCCAGAGGCTTCAGGAGCTTCCCTGAAGCCTCTGGAGTGCAAAAAACCAGCCCTATGGGCAAACCGGAAGTTTGGGAATGGACTTCTGGTTTGCTCATAGGGCTGGTTTTAGCCCCCTGGAGCTTCAGGGGCCTCCAGGAGGCTTTCCTGAAGGCTCCGGAGGGCAAAAAACAACCCTATGAGCAAACCGGAAGTCACTTCTGGGTTGCTCATAGGGCTGGTTTTAGCCCTCCAGAGCCTTCAGGAGCCCTCAGGAGGCTTCCCTGAAGGCTCTGGAGGGCTAAAACCAGCCCTAAGAGGAAACTGGAAGTCTGTTCCTGAACTTCCGGTTTGCCCATAGGGCTGGTGTTTTGCGCTCCGGAGGCTTCAGAGAAGCTCCTGAAGCCTCCGGAGGGCAAAAAATGGCCTCAAAAGAAGGCCGAAGTCCAGCTGACAGGGCAAGCCTCGTGTGCCCTGACAAATGGCCCCGCATGCCACCTGTGGCACGGGTGCCATAGGTTCGCCATCACGGTTCTATCAGATATCCTATTTTGTAGGTGATACAAATTTGTATCATTCACAGGTTGATATTTTCTCACTCTGAACTGAAAGATAATCTCCCCCAGCAGCATTGCATGGATATTAAATAACATTAAGGAAAGGACTGAGCTCTGGAATTCTTTATACTTGAGGGACCAACCTGTTGCTGTCAAGTGCCAACACAGAATAGTACCTTCCTATGGAGACAGCTGTTCATTGTCAAAATTGAACACCCCGCTCTCCACAGAGGGGGAAGGGATATGACATCATTTATCTCCAGTCTACAACACAGTCCTTTCAACAATTCCAAGAAGGCTCCATTTGCACTACTCAGGTGACCCTGAGGACACAGATAAACCTCCAGGTGGCCTCAACGACTCTCTAAAAGAATGCAAATGACCAATTGTCTGCATGGAGTATAAATCCTTCCATTCCCCACTATCCAGCCAGAGCTGAACAAGCTTCAGCTGAAGATGAGAAGTGATGAGAAACAAAACGTCTTCAAAGAAAAAGTAGAAAGTCCAGTTGCCTCTTGAAAAAGCACCTTTGGGACAAATGACTTGAATGACTTGGATGACTGAGAATCTCCATAAACAAAGTAGATAAGCAAGCCTACTCTGCTGATTGTATCACAAAAGAGTAAGCTCAGATGTTCAGTTGTACTCACCCCAGGAAATGTCCAAACATCTCATCTGTTTTTGAGAGCTCTCACAAATGAGGAGTTCACTGGGGTGGGGAGCCATACCCATTAGAGCTTTCAATGTTAAAATGCGCACATATGAAGCTGTAAAGTATGGAGAAAATTTATTTTCCCAGAGATTGGCAAATCCCATCTCAAGTCCACATAGCTAAAACTGAACAGCAGAATTCAGGAGCACCTGGAGGGTCACAGGTCTTATAAACCGGCTCTGAAACTATAATTCTACAGTAATATAGTTATAAATAAATCTTACTGAACTCTTATTTATGTGTATAATACTGCCATATCGTCTTGATAATGAGAAATACATCTCATTTTATGTTCTAAATTAATGTCATATATTTAGTACAAGTAAATAAAAATTTATATATTTTATGTACAGATATCCAATGGAAGGAAAAATAAAAACAAGAGAAATGAAAGTAAACTGGTAATTATTTTATACAATATATTATTATTTTAAAATAGTAATAAGAGTTTTTGGTGAATTATTGTATGGTATTTCCTTATACTCCATCCTCTCTAGATTTTATCTAGAGCTGTGATGGTGCAGTGATTAGAATGTAGTACTGCAGGCTAATTGGCTGACTGACAGCTGCCAGCAGTTTGGCAGATCGAATCTCACCAAGCTCAAGGTTGACTCAGCCTTCCATCCTTCTGAGGTCAGTAAAATGAGGACCCAGATTGTTGGGAGCAAAATGCTGACTCTGTAAGCTGCTTAGAGAGGACTGTAAAGCATTGTGAAGCAATATATAAGTTTAACTCACTGATTTTTTTAAAAATCAGTGGATTTACTGTTTATAATATTTACACATTGGTGTTTTCAATATTTTGAAATTTTATAACTTCTTTTTCAGTCTTATTCAGGCACAGCTAGGATGCATTCCCATACAAGATTTCACCTTGACGCAAGATATAGGAAAGATTTTTAGAAATGGCATAAGACTTACAAAATGTATGGTAAAATTTAAAATTACTCTTTTCATTATATATTTGCTGATAGCTAATCCTTATTTAGTGACCACAAATGGAATTGGCACCTCAGTTATTAAGTATAGTGGCTGCTAAGTAAAACAATGCAATTTTACAATGTTCAGTTTTCCTTTGCTTGATAGACCTACAAAGATTGGACACAAAGGTAGTTTTTGTAATCACCATCGTAACTGGAGGTGGCCACTAAATGAGGCAGTCGCTAATTTAAATTTCTAGGGCCACTCAATTTCTAATAAGTTTGAGTGCTATATATAAGAGTAAAAAAGAGAAGCAATGTGTTTTTAACAACAACAACAACAATAATAATAACAATAAGCTTATATCCTGTGATGATAGTTGTGATACCATCAAACATCTACATCTTCCTATTCCAGGTCCTTGAAAAGAATTCAAAACAAAAATGCCAAATCCATCTGAACATCTGGCTGACTGTGAAATGAACTGTATAATGATAATATACATGAGCATGTATTTTTTTTTACCTCTTCCTCTTTTTACACTTATTTCTTTTCTTATGTAGGGTTATCTGAATTTCTGGCTACCCATCAAAACAACTTTATTGTATTACTTAACGCTTTGATTTTAGCGAAGTGCTTCAGATGTAGACTTTGGGAAAATTCACTCTATGTATCCAAACAGTTAGAAAAAATTGGTAAGTACCATTAAAATTATTCAACTCAGGATACAATACAAAAATTGAACTTTTTTGTATTTAGGGTAAAGTCCAATAATTTATTATTATAGTAGGATAGAATTATTTTCTTACTCCATCCTCAGATTGGACAAGGCTCGCGATATTGAGGAAAATTTAAATGCAGAAGATGTGTGTTTCATGTTACATTAAATATCACTTGTGAAAATGTTCAGAATCTATGCATGTTTTTTAGATCTTTCTTATATTAATATAATGCTTTATAAAAGGAAGTGACAACTATGATGAGAATATTGTATAGCAGTATGTTATACATTAGAAGTACAAACTGCATAATAATATTGAGGATGATTCCTACATTTTCTATTGTTTTTTAAATATCAGATTTTTTAAAAACATACAGGTAATACTTGCTTAACAACCAAAATTGGGATTGTAATATTGGTTGTTGAGCAAAGCAGTCATTAAACAAGACACCCACTTGACTGTTTTGCTCAATGATTGAAATCCTAGTACTTTCAGTTGTGGTCATTAAGCTACCTCACAAGTTATAAAGTGGATGGTGAACCACCACATCATGCTCCAGTTGGATATTGTTGGTGCTTTGAACTTTGCCAACAATCTCTGCTGTTGTTGCCTTTTTTCCCCTATTACCCTGAGCTTCAGTCTAAAACACCTCCAGGGATAAAGCACCAAACTGCAGTCTAGTCAAATCTCACCATCCTTAAACCAACAAATGCAGCACCCTGACAGATGACCATTTTGAAATATATTTTAGAGTAGTTGCTTATTTAAATGATATTCTATATTTGCTTATTAGTAAAAAAGGTAAGCTATGAGGAAATGCAACTTGACAAATTAATCTTTAGCATATTTCTATTTTCAATAGGCATGAGTTTATCAAATGCAATGATGAATGCAGGACTGACCTCCTTTAAAAAAATAGAAGATACAAATGCAAGAGAGCTTGAATTGGTATTTATTTTATAATTTTTATGTTGTGTGTTACATACATTGTTTTATATTTGCTCACATATCTGATTTGTATTCTGATATTTTCTAAATAAATTATATATATATATATATATATATATATATATATATATATA